TTCACCTGTACCACAGCACTGGGGGGGCGATACATGAGGTTAATCCACTTGCAGAAGTCGGGTTTGAATCTGGTGACCTGCAGGAGAGCAGCCTGTACCGATGGTCAACCCTATCAAATGCCTTAGACTGATCCAAATTGATCAGCGCGGCTTGCTCGTCGTCTTTTACATCCTGCTGCTGCTTCTGCTGGTCCTCCTGCTCAAGTTCGGTCCTCTCATTCTGCTGTTGAAGTGAAGTGATGGTCACTTTAGATCCCTTCTTTACTACTTCTGTCTACTCACCTGTTTTCTTTACAGCTTTTGTTGTCTGTGCTGATGTATGTGCTGTTGTCGGTTTTTCATCACTTTTCTTTTTTGGTTGTGGTTCTGGATTTTGTCCTGGGCAAGCCTTCGACAAATGCCCCGCGGCCTCACAGGCCGAACAGAGTGGTCAACGCCCCTCTACAATGACATAAATCAGTCTCCCTTCACGCATTAATGTGTTAGGTATTTCCATAAACTGCTTTTTATTTAAAGTAATAGCTATTTCAAAATCGCCTATGGCTTATCCCGCCTTGCTTTTAATTTGACGAGACCTCCGAGACGTCCCCAAACTGCGAAAAGAAAAATTTGTCCTTGAGTTTTTATAATACTCTGGCCCTTTTTTAGGTAGGGGTTATCCTTTTCCCATGCTGAAGGGGTCACTTCAGTGGGTGAGATATTGGGAGATTCAAACAATGTAAACCAAACGCGGAATTTAGACGAAAAAACAACAATAGATACAAAAAACGGTGGCAAACAAAAATGGCACTTACTTCACAGAATGTCTAACGAAACCTTTAATAAACGGACGTGAAAAATCTGTCCTTTTCCAATTTGCTAATGATGCAATTGGATAGTACTTATGTATTTTTTAACGCATTTAATAATTTATAGCTATAGCGTAACATACAAACTTACAAACAAAAACAAGTTCTACAAGATTCCAATAAAATTCTAGAAGACTCCAGGAAATTCTATAAGGTTCTACAAACTTCTAAAAGGCTCCAAAAAAGTCATAATACTACTATACTTATATATGATTTTAAAGATTTCGTGTTAGGGGTGACATTTTTTAAAATAAACTGAATTAAACTTATCATTTGAACAAAAGTTCATCGAATTATGATACAGAAAATCAATTATTTTTCAAAAATCAAAAAGTTATAAACCTAATACATATATATATATATATATATATATATATATATATATATATATATGTGTGTGTGTGTGTGTGTGTGTGTGTGTGTGTGTGTGTGTGTGTGTGTGTGCAGCATGTTTCATTGAGGCAAGTTTTGTTGATTGAATAGTTTAGACAGGATCCGTTCATATTCTCGGATGAACTTTCTGGTGTCGGTATTAAAGAAGAGAGGAAATTACCGTGTTGATACATATTGTTTTATTGCGAGTACTTTCGACATTAACACAATGTCATCCTCAACATGTATCAACACGCTAATTTCCTTTATTTTAATACTGACACCATCATAAGCTCATCCGAGAATATGAACGGACCATATTCAACGGAACTTGCCTCAATATATATATATATATATATATATATATATATATATATATATATAACGAAATATATAAGCAACAAAAATGTTGACCATTCCAAAGTTGAATAATAAATAAAATCTCTTCCTTCTTCGTTAAAAAAAATTACCAAATCAAGATACAAGGCTATTTCGCCGCTATCAACTCTTACACTAGTAAGATTCATTTTGTTACATGTTGTATGGTTACATGTATGTTTGTGTGGATTCCTTTGCGTGCGTACGACACTGCGCCGATGCAGAGAATACATGTCATTAAGCGTGTGCACTGGAGTGTGTGCATTTGCCTTGTATGTCTATTGTGTTTGCCGGCTGCGTGTTTTGGTGCATTTGCAGTCGGAACAGCACCTGGCTTCTGTTCACAAGACACATCACAAGAGAAAAGCCATGTTGAATGTAAGAGAGCTCGGACGCCAACGGAAAAAAATTCCAACAAGCTTTTCGTTTCTTTAACCAGTAAGGCCATGTGGTTTTTGTGTCTTGATTTGTTTTCTTTTTTTTTTTTTTTTTTCTTTGTCTTGTACAAATTCTGTCTTTTCGAGCTGATTACACGCCATTTGATCGACATACAACAAATAACGGCCTTCAACTAACCGAGCCGTAGTTGCTTCCTTTCATTTTCGACAGTTTTGCTTATCTTACTTTATTTCTCTTTTCATTTATTCATTCCATTTTTCCTCTTCTTTTTTAGTTCTATTTTCTTTCTTCCCTTTTCTTTCTTTTTTTCCTTTCTTCGTTTCTGTTTTCATTCATCCATGCATTCGTTTCGTTTCGTTTATTTATTTATATGCTTCATTCCGTTGTTTGCCCTTCTGTCTCCCTCTCTCTTAGTTGTCTTTCTCTCTTGCCCTTCTCTCTTCTCTCTCTCCGTCTGTCTGCCTGTCTGTCTGTCTGTCTCTCTCTCTCTCTATCTCTCTCTCTCTCTCTATCTCTCTCTCTTCCTCAGTCCCTTTATTCCTCTACATTTTCGCTTTAATGTTTCTTTTCTTTTATAATTCGATTCTCTACGTTTGTTGATTTCCTCCTTTTAAAATTATTTTTTACATTATTTTAGTTTTTTTTTTTTTCTGTCTTTCTTTCCTTCTTTCTTCTTTCTTTCTCTCTTTCTTCCTTTCACACATTTGTTTTCTTTCTTTCTTTCTTTCTTTAGTTTATCAACATTATTCCATTATCCCCTTCTTTGTTTCTCTCTCCCTTTAATATTTACTCTCTCATTTTCTCTTTCTCTCTCTCTCTTTCCCACTCTTTCCTTTCGTCAATGACTTTTCTATTTTTGCTAGCTTCTTTTTCGTTGATTCTTTGTCATATGATTATTCCATACATTTTCATCTTCTTTCTTATTTATTTAATATAAAATTCCTTCCCGCTGTTTTCTTTCTTTCTTATCTGCTTATTTTAATATTTTCTTTCTTTTTTTATTTTTTATTGATTTGTCTATTTTAGATTAGTCTTTCTTTGTTCCTTATTTATTTTAAAATTTTCTTTCTTTTTTCTTTCCTTCTTTATCTATTTTAAAATGTTCCTACTTTCTTTTTTTTTCATTCTTATGAATAATCATCTATGTTAATATTTTCTTTTCTTTTTTGTCTTTCTTTCTTTCACGTCATTTCTTTCTTTTGCATCCTTTCTTTCTTTTATATCCTATCTTTCTTTCGCTTTCATTTTCTCTTTCCTTTCATCTTTCTTCCTCGTCCTTCATTCTTTTTTCTTTCTTTCTTTCTTTCTTTCTTTCTTTCTTTCACATTCATTCTCTCTTTCACATCCTTTCTCTCTTTCTTTATTTCTTTCACATTGTTTCTTTCACGTCCTTACTTTCTTTCAAATACTTTCTTCTTTTCACATCCTTCCTTTCTCTCTTTCACGTCTTTTCTTTCTTTCACAGCCTTTCTCTCTTTCGCAACCTTTCTTGTTTCTTTCATTCTTTCTTTCTTACTCATCCTTTCTTTCTTTACTTCTTTCTCTCTTTCACATTCTTTTTCTATTTCTTTCTTTTACCCCCTTTCTTTCTTTCACATCCTTTCTTTTCACTCTTTGGGGGCATCTGCTTGATTGACAATCGAGATACTTTAACCAATGTTCTCCATCTTTGCATTTCGTTTCCTTGCCTCGGTTTATCTTTTACATCTTCTAAATATTTATTGCCTTTTGCGAAAAAGAAAACAATTAAAAGATGTCATATTTGTTATATTTTTATTCATATACAGATTATTATTAAATAGCTTTTATTATAATGTCACTCCATGAAAAAGAACTACAAATAAGTAAATAAAAAATTTCATAAGGAATTTAAAGTCAACACACTTCATTAATGCATTGTAAATGATCGCCTAAAAGTCCGTCATTCGGTGAAATAGAATTTAATCTTGACAGCTATGGCGCACACACACACAAACGATACAAAGATAAACTCTATTTGTTTCCGATTCTTAACGTTTTTAATCATTTCACCCCAAGCAAGGCAATAAAGCTACTAAGACGCAAGTGGTTACTGGATGCGAGAGAATATAGCAAAAAGAAAAACACTATTAAAAAGAGAGAACAATAAAAGAACGTTAACTAAGAAAACAAAAGAAAACGATTGCCATTTTTTAAATTTTTAAAGATCAACGTTAACTCGAAAGCAAAGAAGCCGGAAGAGACTTCCACAAGCGTGAGAGAAGAAACTATTAGCATAAAACTTACGGTTACATCTAGCCGTTGAAACTGTAAAATGATGAGACCTAGCTTACAATCTAGTACTGCGCTTAAATTCATAAAGTCTAGCTACCATATATGAAAGCTCATCAGAACAATTACCATGAAAATATTAATAGAAAAAGCACTGTAGAAGACAAGTTCTTCAGCGTTAAGACTGCTATCTCGCCATTTCTTCTTCTTCTTCTTCTTCTTCTACATCATCATCATTATCATTATCATCTTTATCTGCCGTGTCCCCTCCGGACGTAAGCAATTATGGTTCTCCACAATTTCCTGTCATTTGTAGCTCTTAATAAATGTTGTTTTTTCGTTATTTCTTCTAAACCTTGTTCCGCGTTTTTATTTTCTTTTTGTTTGTTTTTTTTCAGTCCCTTTTGTCCTCAATCTGTCCTTTGAGTATCAGATTTTCCAAGCCCTATTTCCTCATTATGTGCCCCAGAAATTTCAACCGTCTCTTCATTTCACTGTTCCTAAACAAGTCGGGGGTAGAAATAATTGTTTCATCATGGCTTGTTTTCTGTTCCCGTTGTTGAACCTGGATTTTTTCCCTTAATGCATATTTATGGTTCATCCAAATAATTAAATAGTGGAACCTTTAAAGAAAGACTTATGTTTTTTGTTTATAATTGTTTTACCTTTGTTTTTTTGTTTTTTAGGTCGTAAAAAACAATCATTACCGGAATGAGAGAAGTTTTACGCGCAGCAGTTTTTGTGTTGTTGTTTATGGTCCATGTAACCGGGACCAAGTCATCGGTAAGTTAGTTCTTTCTTTTTCTCTCTCTTTCTTTCTTTTCTTTCTTTATTTCATTGTTGTTTTTTTTCTGTTGTTATTTTCCTTTTTATTTTTATTTTATTTCCGATTTCTTTCTTTCTTTCTTTTTTTCTTCCTTTCTTTCATTGGTTATTTCGTTACTTTTCCTTTCCTATTTATTTCATTTTTTCTTTCCTTTCACCTTTCCCTTACTTTCTTTCTTTCTTTCTTTCTTATTTTTCTTTCTTTCCATCTCTCTTTCTTTTTTCTTTACTCTTTTTCTCTTTTAATTTTCATTGTTTATTTATTTATTCCTTTTCTTTCCCTTTCTTTCTTTCTTTCTTTTTCTTTCTTATCATTTGTCTGTTTTCTGCTTTACTCTTTTTTTCCTTTTATTTTTCTTTGTTTATTTATTTTTTTCTTTATTTTTCCTTCTTTCTTTATATTTTTTTCATTTTGCTTCTTTCTACCTTTCTTTATTTTTCATTACTCTTGCTTTTTTGTTTTTTACTTTTTGTTTCTTTCCCTTTTTTCTTTTTCTTTCTTTCTTTTTATCATTTCATTCTTTCTTTCTTAATTTCTTTTTCTTTACTTTCTTCCCTGTCATTCTTTCTTTCCTTCAGCTACATAATTCGGGGCTGTTGCTATGGTAACGGAACTAAAGTTACTGTTAGAAAGGCGGGGGTGATCTTCAATGGACTGTTTGAATGTTAAATATTCGGTTGAGTCCAAAGTAATTTCCGTTTTTGGAAAGCTACTAATAATACGTGTTAGTAAAGAATAAATTTGGAGTATATTAACATACCTTTTATTTTGCACAACAGTGTCGGCGTACACAGCGAATTAAATGAAAATTATTATTCTTTTCCTTGACAACGCAAAGCTTCATGCAGTAAGAATACCACAGGAAAAAGATTTGGAACACGGTTGGTCTGTTCTGCCACAACCGCTGTATTCGCCTGACTTTGCTCTAACCAATTATTACATTTTCCGAACGCTACAAACAAAAATCTTTCTCTGATAAAAACCAAATTCAAAAGTTCATCGAAAACTTTTTCACGTCAAAATCTGTAGAATTTTATTCAAAAGATAATGAAGAGCTGGTAACATAGATGGTAACAGGTCGTTGAAAATGATGGTAAATCTATAATTGGATAAAATGCAACTGTATAAGGTAAAGCAGAAGTACGTCTACATGTACCTCCCAGAAATACCTCCCAGAAATACCTCCCACATAATGGTAAGACATTAGTGACAACGGTGCCCTTATCTAGCTAATGTATTACCATTATGTGTGAGGTATTTATGGGAGGTATTTGTGCCGTACCCTGTACTTTCTCTTTTGAAAAATGAATTTGATAAACAAAAAAGGAAATTATTTATTACTCAGCCTAATAGAATTATCGGTTTCCAATCCCTAAATTAATTTAAAAGTAGAAAAGGAATGTATAAATATAGCTTCTAAGGCTGAATAATTCATAATCACGGGATATTTTGCTAAGTAGCAGACGACAGTTAAAATAGAAAGACTTAAAGTTTATTGAAGAAAGTCTGCACAAATTTTTAAAAAAGGAAGAAAAAGGAAGGAATGAACGATAAAAGTTTATATTTCTTCAGTCAAAAACTTGCAAAAGCAATTTTAAATTAGATTGATACATTCATTTTTTTTCTTATTTCTTGTTTCAAATGTGTCTGAGAGATACTGAAAAATTATATCGATCTTTGTTGATAGGAATTTAATTAATTCCACCCGTGAATTATCTTGTAATATTCCTACTGTCGTCTGCCCAGAGATAAATGATAAATGGTTTCTGAAATCTTATTTTATGACGCGGCAGACATTGAAACACAATCAAGATGGCGGGTTTTGTGCGAATAAACGGTCATCACAGCAAAATTAAACAGGAAAATGTCGTTAGAAACAAAGAAAAAAGTGCTGAACTGCTGTCATATCTAATCTCCTATATAGTTGTGAATGTTAGACGATCTCGTCATCCCTTTCAGAAAGTAAGCAAAGTATTTAGAGAAAGGAAACTGCCATTAGAAATGAAGAAAATAGTACAGAGCTGCTCGGTAATATATAATCTCTTATATGGCAGTGAATGCTGGACAATTTCCACATGCCTTTCAGAAAGTAAGCAACATATTAAGAGATATTCAAATATCATCAGAAACAAAGAAAAGAGTATCATGAACTACTATGAAATATCTAATTTCCTATATGGCAGTGAATGCTGAACAATCTCTTCATGCTTGTCAAAAACTAAACAAAGTATTAAGAGATACGGAAATATCGTTAGAAACAAAGAAAATATTAATGAAATACTATGTATTATCTAATCTCATATGGTGAAATGAATGTTGAACTATCTCATCATACCTTTCAGAAACTAAGTAACGTATTAAGAGATAGAAAAATGCCGTTAGAAACAAAGAAAAGTGTTTATTTGCTACCTAATACCTAATTACCTGTATGGCAGTAAATGTTGGACAACTCCGTCAGGAAAAAAATCTCTTAACAACAGACACGTGGTCACACCGACCAATGTTGAGAATGCAATGAACAAAACTTGAGAAAGTCATGAAACGAAACGAAAAATAGAAATGACAAAAAATCTCTTGCTAACAATATGAAACTGGAACATAATTAGAAAAGAAACATTAAAGAATTTAATACTCACAGGCCATATCGAAAGCCAAATTCCCGCATGAAAAAACTGCAAGAAACAACCTATAAAGTTTGCTGAAAATTTATTGGCGCGACTCCCTTCATAAAATATTCCAATGACTATGCATCAGACTACTGATTTTAGTGAGATGCTCTGAGAATTTTCCAGCACCTTCTTTGGAGAGCTATTATCGTCTACCTCTTGACATAAGATACGCACACACACACCACACACAGAGGTTTATATATATATATATATATATATATATATATATATATATATATATATATATATATATATATATATTATATTTAGTTGATAGATGTGAGTTTGTGACCATATATATATTTATTTATATTTATATTTTCACATATATATATATATATATATATATATATATATATATATATATATATATATATATATATATATATATATCGTTAAATATGACGGGTAAGGAAAATCTTAATAATTTTTATTTGTTTTTTCCAGCGATTTTACATTTTTCCACCTACTCGAATTCCAGCCATGCCCAACACACGGCAGCTTGGAATTAAGGCTCCTAATAGAATTTGCAAATAATACGCCTGACAATCACACCTCACATGAAAAAAGCTAACAACATAAAAAAAAAAACTTGAAAATGGCTAAAGAATTGTCTGAAAGCGCTTGGGTCAATGGGCGATATTTTCAGTTTTTGTATTCTTTCACTCCCACCAAACGGAAAAAAATGTTATAACACTGGAAAAAGTAAATAAAAAATTAATAAAATTTTCCTTGTCCGTCATAATAGTTACAGTTTCTGGCGGGTGCAAAGTTTTGAAAATAGCGTGTACACTCAAACCTACAGTTGCTAGCATTGATCTTTCACTCACAAGGCTAATACAAACCACGATATGATTTTGTCAGTCACTTTCCAACGATGGGATGGCCCTTTCTAGGCCGATAACATCAAAAAGTAACCTTCCCGACAAATCGACCAGATACGACGCTGTTATTCTTTATTTGTTCCTATAATACTAAATATATACATAGAATTTGACATATTCAGTGAAAATTAAAAATAAAAAAAAAATATCCTTGATAATGGCTAAAAGAATAGCCGAAGCGGCTCGGACATAGAAAACATTCGGATAATTTTTGCGCACTTTGTTGCCCAGAAAAAAAAAAACTTGTACGAACAGAAGAAAAATTCAAATAAAATGCTTAAAAATACCTTGTCAGTCGTCTTTAATGCACACACACAAATATATATATATATATATATATATATATATATATATATATATATATATATATATGGCCTGATGATGGTGTTTAGGCATTAAACAGACTGACGCTACTGGGTGTTGACTACAATGCCAACTTTTATATTTATATGTGCTCTATCCCTGATATTGAACACTTTATCCCATAAATATAACTGTTGTATCCTTAAAGAAGGTTACAAACAGGTACTCAAGTGAAAGGAACAGCAACACGGGCGTAGATGAAAGAAAGAGAGGTTTATTGTAAAAGGGAATACGCTACTGTAAGACAGGGAATCGGTTAGCAAGATATTAATTCCCGAAGCAAGTCCGTCCAGGTATATCCTGTGCTTACTATCTATATCTACTGATTTCGTCAGTCCACAGAGGCGATAGGGAGCGTGGGACATTCCATTACAACAATAACATACCTTAAAACTATATGTTTATTATATATTTAAAATGAAGGTTACCGTCCAAGTCTATAGAACCCGGTCTGTCCTGCTATTATTTACCCATAGCTGGGTAGGAAAAAGAAGATTCATACTTTTCCTAAGGGTATTACCACGTAAGTGAATGTGATGGATTTAAGAAAAGTATGGCAAAATAGTGGTCTGTTTATTGATTGTAGAATAAAAATGGTACTATTTAACATCCGCTTGTTTCTTAAACAAATATTGACAAAAATAGGACTGTCATTAGGCTCTACGAGAAGAAATTGGGTGACATTTGAAAAACCAGTGTTATTCTCATCAGCAATCCAAATTCTTTTTAAATACCATATACTTTCAGGCACGGTGGAGTAATGGATAGCAGCTCGGATTCCAGTTGAATCTATTACATTCACTTACGTGCTAATAGCCTTGGGAAAGGTACGAATCCTCTTCTTCTCCCCCCAGCTATGGGTAAATAGCATCACAGACTAGATTCTATAGCCTTGGATGTCAACTGGTCTACTGCAGAAAGAAATAGCAACCCACTACGGGAAAAAAATCTGCCTCTTCAGTCATGTATCTTTCGATACATGATCGCCTAAGCGTGTATAATTAACTGATACTTTCAGGACGTCGGGGATCATGGTGATCCGTATATTCCTAGCTTTTGTTGGACTAACTGTTGCGCTTTTACCACCACTCTTTTTAGTTAAAATTCTTGTTCTGCTATCTCTTTTTTTTTTTTGTTATCAATATACCCTCTGTGTGTGCGTGTAATTTTCCAAGCCTTCTTTTCTCATTATGTTTATCAAAAGATTCGGCTGTCTTTTACCGAGTATAAAAGTAGCGCCCGAAGTGGCAATTATCAAAATTCAAATTTTAGCAACGCTTTCAAAACTACCCCGATTTACAAATTGTGTTAGAATGAAATGGTAATCTTATAAAAATTGCCTCGGATTTCGATATTTTTCGTAACTGATATCTGTTATTTTTTCTTTTAATTTTCAGGTATTGAAAACGCACCTCAGAGGTAAGTAAAATGGTGTGCAATTTTGTTATTTTTCTGCCAGTCTATGGCCCGTTCCCACTTCCCAGCCTTTGTTGTAATCCATTCGTAAAGATATTCTGTTTCCCTGTGAAAGCCAATATATAATTTAAAATTTCGGCGCGATGCTGAATATATTGGCAGAACTAATCGGGATTTGGAGGAAAGGATTGATCAGCAGGTAGCAGTTGAGATCCTTAGAAGATAGTATAAAAATTTGCATACGCTTGTCAATACAGCCGGTTCTGCGATAGGTATCATAAGTATCAAACTGACATGAGCTGGGGAGATTATATTGAATGAATTGCTGCATCTGCTGCTAGTAAAGTTAATTTTTTTCTATCCAGAATATGTTACATATGTGTAAATCTACTATTCACCCATGCTTAGAATTTTACTGACACATGGTCCATGCCCCTACTATTTACCTTGAGCTCCTTGATAAAATCCAAAGATGAATTAGCAATATTATTGGTCCTGATCTGGCGGCTCGGCTTAAGTCACTTTCCCACCGACATAAGGTTGCCTCTCTGTGTCTTTTCTATAAATACTTTCATGGTAATTGTTCGAATGAACTCTTTGATATGGCGCCGAGACTTTTTTGAATTTTAGCGCAGTACTAGACTGGCATCTAGATCTCATTAACTTACAATTGAGCTGGCTAGATGTAACCGTAAATTCTATGCTAACAGTTTCTTTTCTCACACTTCTCACTTGTGGAACTCTCTTCCGGTTCCATGCTTTCCAGACAACTTTAATCTTCAAAACTTTATACTGCTCTGATGCTTCTGCTATGTATTTAGAAAGAATCTGCGATGTTATTGGTCCTGACCTGGCATCTTAGCTTCAGTCACTTTCCCTCTGCTGTAATCTCCAACTCCTCTCTCTCACAGATGAGATGTCGTAAATTTCACGCTGCTCTATCGCTATTTCCATGGTGAGTGTTCAGATGAACTGCATTTCTTCGTTCCACCAGTCCTAACTTCACGGCTAAAACACGACAGCGCCACACACATCAAGGCGAACCACAGTCATTTCCTTCGTATTCCATTGGTGAGATGTAAGTTCCACTCGAGCAGCTTCTCGCGAACCACTACTCTGTGGAACCGACTCCCAAGAAGATGCCTCCTCGCTTATTACAATCTTAACATTTTCATGTGCAGGGTTAACAGTTATCTTCCTCAAACATCCTCATAAGTTATACCTCTTACACTGTGACCCTCTACATTGAGTGGCTCTTGCTCTCAAGTTAAACATAATTGGAATACAAAGGGAATGTGGGTTGTTTGCTACAATGTGAGTGGCGTGGTGGTTCCTGGCCGTAAAAGTTGAAGCTGCTGGAACCAAGGAATGCAGTTCGTCCGAGCACTTTCCTCTTATGGTGAAAACGATGAGAGTACCCATATATATATATATATATATATATATATATATATATATATATATATATCAAGAACTGACAAAGTGGAAAAAAGTTTACGTGGGACGCGTTTCGTCCTTCAGGACGTCATCGGACTAAATTTGTTATATTGGTAGGTCTACACATGCGCACGACAGTGGGGGGGGGTAGAATTTCTTTTTTATCTTACTGAATTCATTTAGAGTTTTTTTTTCTTTCTATCACTTTTGTAAGTAGGTATTTCGTACTATGATATTAGAAGATCTGCCAGGAATGGTGAAATGTTGTAAAAGCCAGGACTCAAATTTACTGTAGATGATCTGCCATTAAGGCACTTTCTAGATATTTACGTCGTAGTGATTTATTTGCTCCTTTGATCAGAGTAGCATTCTTTATGCCTAAGTTGTGGTCAGTCTCGTTACGATGGGCAACCAACGCATTTGATGTATTATTTTGTAAGATGTCCCTTTTGTGTTTATATAATCTTTTAATTTAGATTCCAGGTTCCTCATTTAAAAATTAAGACAATTATAATAAAAAAAAATATAAATTAAGTTACGTCCTTTACATATTCTTAACAGTTTTAAATTGACTATAAAGAAGCGTGTTTCATACGCATTTTTAAAAAAATCGCAAGTATCAATAACATAAATTTTGTCTTTGCAATTTACTCCTGAACATGATCTTGGATGAGATTGAAAGTAATTGGGAAAATAAAAGGAATGAGAAAAACTACGGCGTCTTTCTTAATCAGATTAATAACAACACTAAGAAACTGATCCGTGAATTTGGTGGGATTAAAATAAAAATAAACAGACATAATATATCTGCATTATTCAACCAAACATTCTTGAATCTCTCTCTCTCTCTCTCTCTATATATATATATATATATATATATATATATATATATATACATATAGAGAGAGAAATTAAAAGATTTGAATAATCATAATTAATTCATCGAGTTAATTCAACAGAATTCAGAAAGCACTGGGTGGTCGTTTCGTCCTATTTTTGGAACTCATCAGTAGTGCGTATACCCTACTGAGAATCGAACCCGGACCGCTACGATATGAAGCAAGCGAACCAACCAAAACCAGACTCGCTATATCATTTGTTACTTCTCCGTGATCGAGACGCGTTGGTGCAGTTGGTATGACGGTGCTTCATATCGTAAATTCTCGATAGTGGATAGTTCGATTCTCGGTAGTGGATGTGCACTGCTAATGAGCCCCAAAATAGAGCGAAACGGCCGTCCAGTGCATTCTGTTGGGGATTCTTCTAGACTCGATGAATTAATTTTTTTTTTATGTGTGTGTAATAAATTTGGGTTATCAACATTTGTTAAATAATATCCGATAATGCATTTCGTCTATATGGTTTCATCAGATGGATAACGAAAAGGTGTTGTGCGTATGCATTTGTGTGTGTTTAAAATAATTAAATCTTATATCATTTTCCCTTACCTGGCATTGCTCGAGACTAAAAGAGAAGGAAAATGAGTGCCTTTAAAAAAAGATCGTTTAGCATTTTATATTCTCCGCTTTAAGTGCCCGAGTTTTGAGATGGAAATCCTTCAGAATGGGTAGAAAATAAACGAAAGAATTGTTTTTACCCATGCGTTATCCATATCGTCAGTAAGCCGGAGAATATAAAATGCTAAACGATATTTTTAAAAGTCACTCATTTTTTTTTTGTCTCGAGCAACGCCAGCTGGGGAAAATAATGTAAGATTAAATTATTTTAAACACACAAATGCAATTACACAAAAAAATTTTCGTTTTTCTAAATTATATATATCTTTGTGTGTGTGTGTGTGTGTGTGTGTGTGTGTGTGTGTGTGTGTGTGTGTGTGTGGCAAAGGGTTGAAAGTTTTGTGGTTCACCAGGAACCTCTCCTCGCCGCTGTCAAACAGAGAAAAATGGCGTGGTTTGGGCACATTACAAGGCACGACAGCCTGTGTATGACCATCATTGAAGGCACCGTTGAAGGTGCACGTAAAACCTGGTTGAGCAATGTCAAACCATGGAGAGAGTATGACTGTACCAGAATTGCTGATGTCTGTTGTTGATAGACCGTTGTAGAGCAGATTCAGTGTGAATTCTGCATTTGGATCCCCACTACGATTACAAAAATCAAGAGGATGATATATATATATATATATATATATATATATATATATATATAAAAAACATAAAAATGTCTTTAATAAATAAATTGTCGGACCTTGTCCATTTCTTAACATATATATATATATATATATATATATATATATATTATAAAATATAGTTTTAAGGTATGCTATATTTATGGGTTAAATTGCTCAATATATATCAGGGATAGAGCGCATATAACTATAAATTGCGACAGTCAGTTTCACGCTAAACGCAATCGTCAGGCCTATATATTATTGGCGTTCTGAACTCAAGGAAAGACAATGCGTTTTGTATAAGCTCCAAAAAATTAACGAATTTTAAGTTGAACTGTAAAACGTAAATATGGCTTAAAAGTAATATAAAAATTTAATATAATTTGATATTATTATTTATTTTATTTCATATAGTATATCTATATATTATTATTTTATTTATTTCAAGTTATATATGTACTGTTTGTTATTATTTCTTTCAAATTTTTTTATAGATACCAGATTTTCTCTATCAGCATTTATTTATTTTTCTTTTCATCGATGAGGTAGTATGTTCCCTGCAGATTCGGATCACTGCTCTTCGTTTCTCCTTGGTGCACACTGCTAGCGAAGCGGGCATGTGTACACTGTAACTGCATCAAGGAAACTGTCGCGCTCAAATTCAAACTTCAATCACGTAACCAAAATATTAACAACTATAAGCACGTTTGAGCAAAAAGCACTGTGACAAACTTGAAAATGATTTTTAGTCGTTTATATATATATATATATATATATATATATATATATATATATATATAATGCATGAATTGTTTTAAATAATTTTGTTAATTTCAACCAACATTTTTCAGTTTTGATTGTATTTCCCAAATTTTTTAATAAATTTTTGTACATCGAAACCAAATTTTGTCTTCTGTGAAGAAAGATATTTCATTTAAGAAAGTCGTTTTTATTTTCGTTTATTGATTTTAAAATTTAAGGAAGAAATGAAATAAGCAAAATTTTTGTCATATATATATATATATATATTAATGTGCATCTCAAATACGCGAAAGTTTTATGATGTCACTGGAGAAGTTATTGCGATTGATCGAGCGTGTCAAAAGTACTTTGCGAATATTTCAAGCTAGAAATTTCTCACTAAACGATGCTCCACCGTCAGATAAGCCAGATCAAATTGATAGCGATCAAATCAAGATATTATTTGAAAATTATCGCCGTTATAACAAAGCAGTCAAAATATTCAAAATTAATCAATCATAAAAAGGAGAAAAATAATAATTGCAGAAAGCAACCAATGATCAGAGAGAGATAATAAGAAGTCAGCTGCAGACGAGAGAAATTTGACCAATCGTCAGAAGAGGAAAAATAATAGACGCAGAAAGCAACCAATGATCAGAGAGAGATAATAAGAATAGTTTTAAAAAGCAGTCAATTGTAAATCAGAGAAAATGCGAATAGTCTCCAAAATTGATCAATCGTAAGGAGAAAAGGAATAGATTCAGAAAGTAACCAATGATTAGAGATAGATAATGAGAATAGATTAAAAAGGCATATGTCTTCATTTTTTTTTCATACAGATATTCTATATATATTTTCTTGCATGCATTTTATTTCCTGCGCAGAAATTTTACGTTTCTATTTTCATATTTATATTACAGTTAATACACGATCACTGTTCCCATGGCAACAAATTAAAGATGCTTTTGTACGAAATAGTCGGCAAGAAATTAGAATGATGTCATCTTGTGATGGTCAACAAGCGGGAAGATGCCGACAGAATCCAGAAAATTTACGCAATATTAAAGACAAAGGTATTTCATATAAATTTATCAATATAGCCACTCATCAATATAATAAATGCGAATATCAGTGTGCCACTGTATCACACTTTTTCAACTTTATTCCTTGAGGCCGTAGCCTAACATATCATATCATTCTGGAATAAGGCCGACTGCGTAAGAAATTAAAACTTTCCGGACCGGATCCGGACCTGCAATCCTGAAATTTTGGATCTCCAAGTTTTCATTACTGCGATTGTTTTGGATTCCGCCATCTTGGCCTCTACTGATAAAAATAATTAAAGGGACATAACTCTCTAATTTTCAATAGCTCATGTTCAATTGAAAAAATTACTGTACTCAAATTACAGTGTTTCAAAATAAAATTACTCCTAGAGGCCGTAACATATATCATTTTGGAATCTGGCCGACTCTCTGAGCAAATTAAAAACATCCCGCGCAGGATCCGGACCCGCAATCGTGAAATTTTTGATTCCCAAGTTTTCATTGCAGCGATTTTTTTACCTGATTTTTGCGACGAATTTTTTTGTACGATAACAATTTTTATAATTTGGAAATAAATTTGGGAATAATCGAAATTAATTACGAAATCCAGTGAAAGTCACCCATGTAATATATAGATAGATAGATAGATAGATAGATAGATAGATAGATATATTTAGTAAACTAATTTTTAATTGTATGATAAATATGATAATATGCTTGACATTAATGCATAATACTAGTTCACACCCTCTGTAAACATCTGGGTCTAACACTCTTTCGCTTTACGAATACTGGTGATATAAAGAAGTCGATATGTAATTTATGTTGATCATTTATTAATATTCCTTCTCGATATCTTCTACATAATAGGGGAGCAATTTCAAAATCAAAATGATGGCTTGTCTTGTTTCTACGGGATGCTGAAGAAATTACTGGGATATCAGATGTTTCTTCTGTTCACTAGATACAGCAGCCGTTATATTCATCATGAAAATATCGTCAGCTCACTCTACAAGTGCTATTGGTACTGTTACCATGTAACCTAGTACTGTACGTCGCTTGGTTGAGTCATCGACGTCTAAACTGGTTCTCTCACCAGGTTTTTCTGGCGGGAAGGGCGGCTAAACCCCAGCAGATTAAAGTCAAGACTTTCTTTTAGGATCAAAGGTGTCTGGGCTCTATTTTGATAGATGTAGATAGTGCTATAATGAGACGGCAATGCTAGGTAGGCTTCATAGACTAAAGTCAGTGACCATAGCGAAGGTTTGTCTGATGAAATTATCAGTCATGTATTGGTGACCAAACGTGCCTTCAAGTTGAGTGACATCGGTTGTGATGTAACCTAGAGAGGGATGGGCTCCGCCTGGTCTTCTTACCCAAAGCTACGCTAAGCATGTACGAATGCCTTTCCAGTTTTCAACACAGATATATAGAAGTAACTGGTCAGGTGCTCAGCTGCGCAATGATCCTACGACCACACCTAGTTATGAGACTGCTGCTGAGGATGGATTTCACGATATCTTGTCAGATGTCGATCATGATTTTTATGACTTTTAAACAAGGCAGTGTTTTACTGTAAGTGTCGGTGTCGTTGCAGATTCCCAAGAAGTCAAATCTGCAAAAAGAACACCCGTCAGCAGGCAACAATCAACAAACCCACCAAGAGGATGGTGGATTTATGGTGAGTAAACAGTTGCTTATCAGACTAAATCTATTCTCACATATTATCTGCTCACTAAACTATTAGGTTGTTTCACGATACTAAACTTCCCTTGAAAAGAAAAAACTATCTTGAATAAATTTTGAGTCTTCCGTCTTTCTATTTTAACTGTCGTCTGCTACTTAGCAAAATATCCCAAGATTATGGATTTTGCAGCATTATACAGAGTGCGGCGCAAATACTTTTCACATAATGGTAAGTCATTTGTGGCAATAGTGTCTTCATCTCACTAATGTCTTACCATTGTGTGAGAAGTATTTCTGCTACACCCTGCATAATGTTCAAAATGGCAAGAAATGAAAGAAGCTAGAAAAGCAAAATGCTACTACCCAAGAATTATTCCCATCCTGTATATAAGATATATGTATAGAGGGAAAAGGTTTTGCCAAGAATCCGAATAAGGACAACATTTTCCTGCTTCTCTTAAATTTATTGACCAAAAAATATCTTTGCGTGTAAACTGAAATATAGCCATGCCTTTTTATTTTAATTTCTCAATTGAAATAGAGTGTAGTAGAAATACCTTTCACATAATGGTAAGACATTAGTGGCAATGGTGTCTTCATCTAGTTAATGTCTTACCATTATGTGGGAGGTATTTCTGGGAGAAATATATGGGAGGTATTTCTGCCGTATCCTGTCTTCATTTCCTATAATAGTCAATGAGTATAAAAACGATTTTAATTTAACTTACGATTGGAATCGATGAAGTTCTATTAGATTGAGTCAATCCCGTGTTTTTCTTTATCAACTTTATTCTTCAAAATATGAATTACATTTTATTCAGTATGTTCACCATTATTAACAATGGTTTGTTACCACTCATCAGGATTCGATACCTTTGAGTAAAATTCAGGAGGCTTTTATTTTTCTCTTTTTATTTCTCTTTCTATCAACTTTTTACTAGCCGTTTGCTGTTAATGTGTTCCATCACATAAGTAGTTCTGAAAATGAAAATGTATGCAGAATATCTAAAGCATAATACATCGGCAATTGGTTAGATCTCAGGATTACACAACTTATTACGTAATTAGTATCAAGCTGTTTATATAAGAAATTTTGCATTGGCTATTCACCGCTTTTCATTACTAATTTACTCCATGATACAGTTTTAAAATTGTGAAATTTATTCAATATATCTAGAATTAGAGTATTGGTTTCAGGCTGATACAGCCTAAATTATAAGCAGAATACAGTTGTCGATATGAGCAACTTTGTACTAGCCGTTTGTGGCCCTTCACCGATTATTTGTCCCGTCACAAAGGCAGTTCTTCAATAGTATGATTTACGATATTGTGTGAATGGATAGCAGAGCAGAGACAAAGAGGAGTGATAAAGAGTTAAATGTTACTTAGAGCTACAAAGGAAAAGAAGATGGGGAGAGTCATAATCACGCATGAGATTGTGTAAGTGGATAGCAGAGCAGGGACAAAGAGGAACGATAAAGAGATAGATATTTCTTAGAGCTACAAGGGACATGAAGATGTGGAGAGTCATGATCGCCCATGAGATAGTGTGAATCGATAGCAGAGCAGAGAAAAATTGGATGGTTACGAGTTAAACGTTGCATAGAACTACACGGGACAGGAAGATGTGGAGTGTCATGATCGCCCATAAGAGTATGTGAATCGATAGCAGAGCAGGGACAAAGGGGATGGTAAAGAGTTAAACGTTGCTTAGTACTGCATGGGAGAGGAAGATGTGGAGAGTCATGATCGCCCATGTGATAGTGTGAATGGATAGCAGAGCAGAGACAAAGGGGATGTGTTGTGGTAGGATCCACCTAATTTGCATAGTGGAGTACCGACCATATAAATATGGTTGGTACCGGGAAGAGAGGGAGGAATCAAGAGATTCAACCAGAGACTCTGCCCGACTGCGACTCAGTCAACACATTCTCCAGGAACGGTCTTACCAGGAATATACAAAAGACGATATGTAAATATTGTGTACACTTTCTTGTTTCAATACATTTTGTTCTAAGTACATTTTGTGTTGCATTATTATTCCATGCATTAGTCAAGTTTCAACAGGATGGTAAAGGGTTAAACGTTGCTTAGAGCTATAAGGGTCAGGAAGATGTGGAGAGACATGTTTTCACTCAGCCTGATTGGTTTCTTTTACGGCTTATCAAGCATTTGTGGACTCCTTAGTTCCACCAGTACTAACCTTCTCGGCTAAGACCCGCCATGCCACGCACATTGTTGAGAACCACCCTTATACCCTTCGTATTCCATCGGTGAGATGTAAGTAACACTCAAGCAGCTTCTTCCTACCAACCGCTACTTTGTGGAATGGACGACAAAGAAAATGCTCTCCTGGATCACTACAATCTTAACCTCTTCAAGTCTCGGATTAGCCGTTATCTTCCACATATATCCGCATAAACTGTGACTCTTAATCTGTAACAATCTACCTCGAGTGGATCCTGGGTGAACATCACTATAAAAAAAAAAATTAAGACGAAATATATTTCAGATTGTAAGTACATTTTTTTTTCTTATTTTTGATCAAATGGATATTTTATTAAGATTTCCATTGAGGAATAACAGAGATACAACTATTTAACCCATAGCTGGGGGAGATGGATTCATTCCAGTCCAAGACGTAAAGTAAAACATAACAGTACCTATCGTCTGACTGGGAATCCAATTCACATTTATATGTCGATTATCTAAACGTATCGTGGACGTGACACATGCCGAAAATAGGGGGCACCCAATGAGGTTCGAACTCCCAATTCAATCGCAATTGACCTAGCGATACAAGCATTACGAAGAGACTACAAAGAGAATACTCTCCCGAAGTACCCAAAATTTGCAGTTATATGCGTAATTCTTTTAACCATGCTAAACAATCTACAGGTGTGAGAGACTTTGACCCTCTAGTTTGAGATAGGATAAAGGATTCACGTGCTCGAGAACAAATGCCTCAGAAAGCTCCTCCACATCTTCTACTGGGAGTACAAAACCAATGACTATGTATCGAGCAAGGTCAAAAATCTAATGGGCCAACAGGAATCTCTCCTCGCCACTATTAAATGGCGGAAGAGGTTATGTTTTGGCCACATCACACGGCATACCAGCCTCTGAAAGACCATATTGCAAGACACTGTTGAAGATGGACACGAGCGGGGATGGAAATGCAAAAGCTGGTCAGACATCATCAAAGAGTATATGGACATGACAATGCCGGATCTCCTGAGAGATACCGCCAACAGATCATCCTGGAGGAGGTTTGTCTGTTTCTTCTGCCCTTAGGTCCCCGTCCCGCTGACGATTGAAACAGTCAAGGTACTGATGATGATGATGAAACCATCTAAGAGACCAAGAAACTTTTTGCGTTTCTTGTTTCAAGAACTATTTAATGCTCTCGAGTGATTTTTTATGTCGAAAGCGTGCGATAAAGCTGCTTTTCCGGTTGAAAGTGAACAAAGACCATAATTTTGAACACTCTCCTTTCTTACTTCCTGTTGCTTATATTTTTCTGCACAATCGATATGGATTTGAAGAAATGGGAGTACCCCGACATGTTGAACTAATCAACGACTTTCACCTCTTTCCGCTAATCTTACATTTAGAGCAGTCTATATTCCGCATCCTGTATTCTTCTGCTAAGTGTTTTGTCTTCGAAAACTGGCTATCTGTCGTCAATGGACAGAGCAAATGTGGAGATAAGACAAAATAGGAGAGGTAATCAACTACGCGTTTGCCCATTTATAGCAGGCGTCGTCAGGCTGCAAAAAGAAAGAAACCCGTGTATAAGTAAAGCGTGTTGAAATATGGGGAAGAAGTAATAAAAAAAATTATCATCAGATGCTCTGACAAGAGAGTTGTTTTTTAATGTCGGCGTAGATAGGTTCGCCTATTGTCCGGTTCACACTCCTCCCTGATCTTTTGAACAGGAGTAGAGATCTATCCCTGGTTTTCTGATCAGGAGTGAGTTTCCGGTTCCTTCTAAAGTCTTCTTATTCTCTTTCAGTCGGCCCAGCGGCCCTTGAATTTTAGTGGCATTATCGCTTTGCTTGGGGTTAAACGATAAAAAAAAACGCTAAATTCTACTGGATTTGAAAGCCGAGTTCCAATTCCTGTTGGGTACGTTATATTCACTTACGCGAAAATACACTTGAGAAAGGTATTAATACACTTTTCCCCCAGCTAGGGGTTGATTAGTAAAACATGTATCACTAAGCCATTATTGTCTAAATGCATTCACGCAAAACGTGTTGATTGTTGAAGACTACTTCTACTTCTTCGTTTTCTTATGTGTGTTGTGTCCCTTCAGGGCGATAGTGATTATGGCTCTCCACAGCTTCCTGTCTCTTGTAGCTTAGTAAATTGTCTTTTTGTTATCTCTCCTATATCCTGTTCTGTCATCCATTTACTCAAGCTCGCTAGGTAGGTTGTGCGTTGCTTTCCTCTGTCCCTCTTGCCTTCAATCTGTCCTGTGAGTATCAAATGTTCCAAGCCCCCTTTCCTCATTATGTGGCCTGAAAGTTTCAACTCTTTCCGATGTTGAGTATAAGTGTTCTTTTTATTTCAATTTAACTATGTCTTGTTCTAACCCCTGTTCTGACATTCATTGACACAAGTTTATATGGAAGGTTATGCATTGTTTTCCTCTGTCACTTGTGCCTTCAATATTTCCTGTGAGTGCCAAATTTTCCAAACCCTCCTTCCTCATTCATGTGCCCTAGAAATTAAAATGAGCTCTTTCTGATATTAAACATAAGTGTCCTCTCAGTTTCCAGAATCCTTCTGTAGAACCATATTTCTCTTGCATTGTTATTTAATTACTCCTTTTTTTTCAGTTAATGGGCACAGACGCGGGAAGAAATTGATGCCAAGCGCCCAAGATCCGGCAATCAGCACCCCCTCCTCGAGAACGACCTCTGCACGCACCATCATCGACGACTTTGTAGAATATCTCACGCTAAAAAGTAAGCTTGTAACTCTATTTTGCGTGCGCTGAAATATAAAACAAAAGATACAATGTAACCCGGATATAAGAGACCCGGATATAAGAGAAACCCGGATATAAGAGAGATTTTCTCTGGTCCCAAATTAGCGCCTGTGTTAATGTATAAAAAACAGACCAAACCCGGATATAAGAGAAACCCGAATATAAGAGACTTCTTCTCCGTCCCGACAACTCTCTTATATCCGAGCCACACTGTAATTTACGTTATATTTTTACGATCCTTCTCAAATTAAAATCGATTTTGCATGATGAAAACGACATGGCATAACGGCTATTTAAGAGAAGAAACAAAAAAAAACAACAAATGATTCCAGTTAAAACTGCTTCTATCCCTTTTCCTTACGGAAAGGCATGGATCCAAACATCCATTGTTTCTCTGTTCTTTCTACGATACTAAATTGTTCATATGTAAAATAACTGTTTTATTCACTTCCGACCTACGTCAAATTAATACTGGCCTTGTATGTAAGTGTATGTGGTTTCAGGTCTTTCTTCAAACGTTCAATCTTCTTGCGAAGATGTGATAGATTACCTCTCTCTCCATTCGTAGGTCAGGCCTTCATATAATTTCCTGTTATCAAGTTGTTTTGCGTGTGTATATAATTAAGTTCAACTTCCTAATTTATGTCGATACACCAACCGGCATCTTTCCTGTTATCTCGGCTTCAGACACATTCTCACCCCCGTAACGGAGCTTCCCTGTTCCTTTTTCTATAAATATTTTCATTGTAATTGCTCTAATGAACCTTGGTACTTCGTCTTCGGAATTTAAGCGTAGTACTAGGTTGACAACTAGATTCTCATCATTTGTCTATTGAAATTGCAAGATGTAACCGTAAGTTCTATTTTAGTATTTTCTCACTTCTGACCTACGAAACTCTCTTCCGGCTTCTTGCTTTCCTGTTATCTACGAGCTTCAAAAACTTAAATCGACATCTTCTATCTTTCTGAATTCTGTCCTTTGACTGTCCTTTCTCCTCTTTAATCTTTTCTCATTTTGTTTCACTCTCGGCAACCGTTTTAGTGGCATTATTTCTTTGTTTGGTGTGAAATGATTAAAAATGGTTTGATCTAGTCTTAGAAGACTTTTAGCCCTTAACCCTCGAAGCACCTAAATCGTTCGACATTCTGAAGTGACACCGAATACAAAATTTACTTTGGTATCTTAGGGTTATATTGGGTTCACCACAGATCAGCTCTTCTTAGATAAAGGTTCCTAAAAGACATTAAATTCGATTCAGATCTTCGGTATTTATTGGCTTGAATTCTATACTACACACGTATTACCAATCATCCCCACTACGATCTTGTTACTGACATACCATAGTGAATAGTAGACATAGAAAATATGCAAAGTCTAACATTCGTATCCACAAAAAATGATGTCAAAAGGACAGTTTTTTCTCTTGACACCTCTTTTTCTGTACACACCCCGATGAATCTTAATTCCTCTATTAATTATATCGAGTTTTAACACTATATCGAGTTTTAATACAGGTTATTATTTAAAGAAGTGAGAGGATACAAATAAACACTTTTGAAATTGTTCTTTTATTTACATTATTTTCATTGTTCGGACTGTTGTCCTCATCTTAATTGTCATATTCACGACGTTTCGGCGTTGTACGCTCCGGCCTTCTTCAGGTGATTGGAATTTCGAACTGAACCCTTTATTTCATTCAACGAGGTAGACTGTCATAGTTCCACATACCATGCCTCTTCAAGGTGTCTCAGTTATCTTCCTTTAACTCAGCACTCCAAGTGTTTTTGTTCACCATTGCAATAGCCAGGTATTGAACTCACAACTCTTTCGGTCAAGTCACCGGATCCAATCAACGCTTTTATCCACTGGACCATGTGTCGTGAATATGACAATAAAGATGAGGACAACAGTCTGAACAATGTAAATAATGTAAATAATTACAATATCTCATTTCAGAAATATAGACAGCTATTTCTTTTTTTTTTTTTTCAGTCTTTCCATTTCATTGAATCAGATCATAAAAATGTAAGAGTGTTATCGCCTCCACTATTTTCCCTTTCTTTCTTTCTTTCTTTCTTTCTTTCTTTCTTTCTTTTCTTTTGTTTTGGTCTTTCTTTCTTTCGCTTAATTTTCTCCTTTCTTTCTTTCTTTCTTTCTTTTCTCTTATTTTTGTCTTTCTTTCTTTCTTTCTTTCTTTCGATTAGTTTTCTCCTTTCTTTCTTTCTTTCTTTCTTTCTTTCTTTCTCACTAAAACCAAACATCTCTAATATGTCTTTTCCGTTTTTCCTTGCAATGAAAAGGGAATTGATCATTCTTTATCAGGCATTGGCATGACGTATCGTACGTGTCAACTAATTAAGGAATAACCAAGATTTTAAGAAAACCAAACCATATGAAACTGGATTTTTTATTAAATCCGACCCACGCAAAGCAGCAAATCCCCTAAATCACAAGGGATTACTGATTAAGAAAGAATTAGAAAACAGAAAACATTATTGAGGAGCGAAATCAATAAAAGAGTAATCCGGAAGACAGTAAATAACGATTGACATTGCATTTCAATTTTTTGAAGATCAAATTTGACTGGAAAGCGTGTAGCCGAAAGAGTATTCCACAGACGAGAAGTGCCAGGAAGAAACTGTTAGCATAGAACTTACGGTTACACCCAACCAATTCAACTGTAAATTGATGACACTTTATGGTTAATCTAGTACTGCGCTTAAGTTTATAAAGTGTAGATACCATAGCGAAGAGCTCATCCGAACAATTACCATGAAAGTATTTATAGAAAAGACATAGAGAAATAACTTTACGGCGGTAGGAAATTGACTGGAGCTGAGCTGCCAGATCAGGACCAATAATATTGCAGATTCTTCTTTGGATCTTATCAAGAAGCTCAATGGGAATATCAGGGGCACCAGACCATATGTAGTAGAAATATTCTAAGCATGGACGAATGGTAGACTTATAGATATGTAAGATAGATTCAGGAGAGAAAAATTGTCTAGTATGACACAGTGAACCAATATTCCTAGCAGCTGACCTAGCAATGGATTCAATATTGTCTTTCCACTTCATGTCAATCAAGAATGTTAGCCCGAGAAGGCGCAACTAGTCACTCTCCTAGAGGTTAGCATCATCCATGCTGATGGAAGGCAGAAAGAGGTCTTTCAGATGATTAATAGAGAGTAGTTTTGTTTTGGACGAGTTAAAATTAACAAGCCATTCTTTGCCCCAGTTAACAATAAACTGTAAATCATGAGTACAATAGGATCTAGATGAGTGGCCGTTCGAGATAACTTTCATTTTTTGATTTGATAAGAAAGACGGAATCAATTCAAAAATTCGTCCGCAATTAAACAATATTTATTTTGTTACATAGTTTACTAACAAGAAAATTTTCGCATTTAAAAATTTATATAAATATATGAACCAACTACAATTTAATATTTATAGTAGCAACAGAAAATTAACCTCCCTCATACGTTCACTAGAATCTTTTTTAATACAAGTTTACTCAATTGATCCGTATATTTTTATTGATCCCTTCCTATTATTTGAAGGTTTTAAACATATTCTAATTACTGTATAAATATACAGTAATTATTAGGGATCCGTTTATCATTTAATAACAATGGAAATCTAAAACCCCGCTTTAAGTTTACTAAAATATTTTAGTATTACAATACACTCGCGTTTGTAATTTTATTTTGCTGTATAGAATTATCTCCCTTGTTCTGACGACGCTAGAAATTTAGTAAAACAAATCTTATCTATACATAAAATTCTGTGATTTCCGTTAGTCCGCCCGTTACACCCTCTAAAATAGCCATACATTGACGGATCGAAACAAAATTTTTGGAAGAAATGCAAACAGGGAAGTGAATACAAAGTACAATTGGTTTTATTAGGGTGCGTAGCTTAATACAATAAATTTTCTTTCATTTTTTCGAAAGATTAAAAGTTTTATTATTTAACATACAAAATGCACCCACTATTTTAAAAACTATTTAATGATTAAAATAACAAATACTTATTTAATAAAAGTGTAATATTTTACTTTTTGCATATCTTTTTTTTAACTTTTTATATTCAATAATCCAGTTTCCAGATCGTCTTGCTTTTGCGAGAACCATAAACAAATCACAAGGCCAAACGCTTCAAAATGTTGGAATTTGGCTCCCGAAAGAAATATTTACGCATCACCAGTTGCATGTCGCATGCTCAAGAGTAAGAAATCTTAAGAATTCATTCTTCGCTGTTAAAAAGGAAAAAAAAAATTTTCTTTAAAAATATTGTTTACTATGAAGTCCTATAAAATTAAATGAAAGAAATTATTAGACCGCGAAGTTGGGTTTTTGCCAAAGTATTTTTCGAAACAAATCAAATAATTCAAATTTAATCGATTGGTTTTCGAAATCGAACGAAACGTAGAGTTTGTAAATCTCTATAAAAAATGTTAGCGATTACTTCAGCAATACAAAATACTGTGAGGATTTTAACATATGTCAGCGTGTTGCAAAAAATTCTAGTGTTAAAAATTGCCATATATTATAGAGCAAAATAGCTTCAAAACTTACAAGCAATATGGCTTGAAAATAAAGAAATTACCGCCACTGAGATTTGAATCTGCAAATTACAGATTTTTTAGGCGGGGGGGGGGAGTCGGAAATAATCATCCGAATAGAAACAGCGAACATACGGCATTCAAATTTAGACATATAATTAAGCTATAATAATTTTTTACACCTTACTTCACCCAATAATACAAGGCACGAGAGCCACTCAGTCGAGGGTTCTGTTAAAACGTTTATGATGAATGAGGTGTGTAATATGAATGAAAGAGAATAGGAAGTGAAGATTATGAGGATAAGAAGGATAGATAACAACTGACACTTCACTTGAAGAGGTTAAGACTGTAGTGTTCAAGGAAGCATCAATGCGGGAATGCCTGTTCCACAACGTAGCAGTTGTTG